GACCATAATGATCACCCCTCTCCCCTACACAGTGACAGACTAGAGCCTTCCCTCTTCGGCTCCCAGGAGCTGAGAAGAGAGGAGCTACATACGGTAGCCTATTGTGTGGCCACTGGGTCCAGACACCTAGCACAAGGCCTGGTACCCAGGGAGCACTCAGAAAATATGTGCTGAATAAATGAATGCATACCTGCAGGAGCAGGTAAGGGAAGGGCGATGACAGGGACAGGCACTGGCATTTACTGTGAGCTCCATTTGCATCCTCACTCTGAAAGGGTCCCCACAACCCTGGGGCAGGCCTGCTTATCCCCCATTTTACAGAAGAAACGGCCATGCACACATGCACATTTCACCAACTCCCGCCTGCAGGCTCCAGGGTCCCAGCATGTTTTATTTGCTGCTTGTCCCCCACAAGTCTTAGCCTAGAGCTTGGCCCACGACAGGATTCCTCTCACCAACCTGTGTCCCAGACTAGACACACTATTAGCAAGCAAAAGCTCACTGCTCTGGTCCTGCTGCAGAAAGAAAAGGACCCAGAGTTAGAGCAACTCGGGTTGGAATCCTGGCTGCATAACTTAGAGCCTCCACTTATCCATCTGTATAATGGCAACTGGGGGTCGATTAAGTGCTTATTCTGGACTACTCTTCAAACACTCACATCTAGAACCTCCAAGGAGGTGGGGAGGCCTGGCTTTCCAGAGCCCACACGCATAGCGCAGCATGTGATCACACCTTCCTGTTCTCCCTGGAGCTGCCACTGATTTATTACATTCTAAAACTAAGGAAATCCACCCTCCTGGCTTCTCCCAGTTCCTCCAAGAACGAAGACATAGACATCCTGTCTGCTCACAGGCTAAGAATAATAACAATTCCCCATGAGGTGTGGGATTTCACTACTTGCAAAATGTTTTGTCTATTCATACCTTTCTGATTCCGAAAAACAGTCCTATGAGATTGTCCAGGCAGGTTCCATCATCTTCATTATACAGATGAGAAAAAAGCAGCTCAGAGAGGCTAAGTGACTTGCCTTGGCCACATAGTAAATGGTAGAATCAGGTCTCAAAGCCAGGTCTTCGGGGTCCAACTCCCGGATTCTTCCGTCCACACCCTGGGGGCTCCTAGTATGTCCTCACCACATGGTACATGGGTAATGATAAGCGGTGACGGGGAGCTAGAAGACCACCAAGGCTTTGAAGGTCAAACACAGTACACGTGTCTGCTCTGCAAATAAAGCTGCGTCTTAGAATCCTGGAACCTCAGCAGTTAATAACCTTCAGACTTCTTTGGCTAGAAGGGACCCAAGGTCAGGCAGCTCACCTGTAGCTTCCTCATAAATCACCCCCTGAACCCTCCTCGAGCATTCACAATCACCAACATTTTGGACAGTTTACAAGCTATTTACTACAAACCCTACATCTTTATCCAAGTATGAGAGGTCATCTAGCCTCTTTTTGAATAATAATAATTTTGGGGGGGCAGCTGGTGGGTACAGGGATCAAACCCTGGACCTTGGTGTTATCAGCACGACACTCTAACTCACTGAGCAAACCAGCCAGCTCCTTCTCTTTGAATAATTTAAGTAACAGCAACCTCACTACCTTCTCTGTAGAAGCTCCTTCCAGCTTCTCACTGGGAGAGAGTTGCCCCATTTACCATTTCTTCTCTTGGGCCCCAGAGTAGGCCTCAACAGATGGGACTGGGGAGTCCTTCCCTAGTTAACAATTTCCAGTGCCACTCACCAGCTGGAAGGCAAGCCTAAACAGGGCCACCCACTGGACTCGGTGGGACTCCCTCAACCCAAGCAGCCTGCCTGCTGGGGACCCGCTGGGGATTTAGAGCCGTTTTCCTTGTTACTCAGTTTCTGCATCTTAGAAGCAAAGTGGCCCAGAGGGGCGGGAAACACGTCAAGAGTTTAACATACTCTTACTCCAAGTGCTGGCTGCCTAGAGACCAGGCTCTGGGACTTGGAGCAAGTCCCTTCCCTGCCCTGACCACAGTTTACCCATCTGCAGGATGAACAAAACACCTCCTGCAATACACCAGTGTTTACGGTCCACATTCACAGTCTCTAGATTTTCACCCTGCCTCTGACGTCGGCAGCTGGGGTAAACAAACCTCCAGAGAAGTTAAGGGACTGGCCCAAGTTTACACAGCAGGAATTGGCGTGGTCTGGCCCTGCTCACCTCTCTTATACAATCTTCTCCTCTGGCCTTGGCACCGTCCTTGTACTCAAAAAGCTTTTCTCCGGGCCGGCCCGGTGGCGCACTGGAGAGTGCACCGCTTGGGAGCATGGCGGCGCTCCCGCCGAGGGTTCAGATCCCACATACAGACCGGTTCCCGCTCACTGGCTGAGCAAGGTGTGGGCGCAGCACCGAGGGTTGCGATCCCGTTGCCGGTCCCGGTCCGGTACGGGTGCGACACTGAGGGTTGCGATCCGTTGCCGGACACGAAAAAAGACAAAAAGGAAAAAAAAAAAAAAAAAAGCTTTTTTCCAATTCCCCTTAACCTGGAATGTTCTTACTCCAGCTCCCTACTGAGTTGACTTCATGTCACCCTGCAGCTCTCAGCGTCCCTGAGCACCCCCGCCCTCACCTCCATGAGTTCTTGGCACAGTGCACCCTTCTCTACCCTTATTGTAATCTGTATTGTAATTTATTTTATGACTACTGTTTACTCCCGGTTTCCCCGAAAGCTCCATGAAAACAGACACTGCACTCTTGTTCACGGTTGCATCCTCAGATCTGCACTAGTGCACAGCTGGCTCTAAATAAATAGTTGGTAAACGAATGAATGAGGGGCCAGGAGAAAGAGACCAGCCTGCTTAAAATGGGGAGGAGGACTTATTCTGCCCCCACAGAATCCACTACAGAACATGACAGGTACACATGGAAATGTGTCCCATACACTTGAGAATGGCAGTGATCACAGCTTCCATCACCTGAGGTTTACTGCATGCCAGATGCTCTAGCAGCATTTGCATGCATTATCTCATTTAACACTTAAAGTTGAAAGGTGTGTTACTGTCCCATTTTTACAACTGAGAAAACTGAGGTCCAGAGACATAACTTGCCCAAGATCACAGAGTCAGGAAGCTACAGACCCCAGATCCAACAGGGGCCTGAAGCTTGCACATGAAGGCTGCATCACTAAATGAATGGTGGAAATCGAGGCTCAGCTCTGGCCCAAGCAGTGGGATGTCCCCAGCTGGGCCACAGCCCCTGTGAGACCAAGGGCTCAACCCCCAGCCTCCTGGGACTATTTTCCAATCTAAACAGTCATGGGTGGCTCAAATGGACTTCAGGGCAGAGCCTGATGACTGCCTAGGATGGAGAGGAGCCCTTGGGGGTGGGTGCATGAGGAGACCCTGAAGCAAAGCATTGTCACCCATCCTCCTTTGCCAGGGTGAGCAATGAGGCCAGGAGGCGGGGGTGTGAACTCAGGGTCTGGGGTTAGTGAAGCTGAGGCAGCGAGGACTGGAAGCAGCTCAATGCATCGCGAGGGCAAGACCAAAAGACCCTCTTTCTGGCTGGTCATTTCCCTCTTCCTACCCACCCTCCACTGGCCCTCTCCTTACCACTGGCTTCTGAAGACTACAAGAGCTGAGTGAACTCCCAATTGCCAATAATGAATGAGGTCTTTGGGAAGACTCACCCTCCCATTTAACAGATGAGGAAACTGAGCTTGGATTGGGGAAAGGGTAGAGGTGGAAGGGGTAGATTATCCCGATTCAGACAGACCATGTCCTATTCTACAATTATTTACTGAATACATACTGAACAGCAGATCCTGGAGGAAAATGGGGAGAGAGAGACATGGTTAAGCAAGACTCCAACACTCTAATGAGCAAGAAACCCATTTGGCCAAAAGAGCCACAATGAAAAGAAAAGTGCTTCGGGCAGACACAAATCAGCACAGCACTGTGAACTCCGTGGCTCTCTGCCAGGGATACTCTGGGGGTTGTGCCAGGCCATCAACTGACAAGAGGAGGCAACATTTCAGCCTCTTCCAAAACTGTACCCAGCCGTGGCCAGGGACAGCCCACAAAGCTTCCAGCCTCCCAGGCCAAAGTCAATATATGAGGGCTGGGCTGTCCCTAAAGCTGCCACAGTGCAAGGTAGTGGGTGGACGGAGCCTGGCCTGCACTCAGTAGGTGCTCATGTCCACTAAAAGGGCAAAGGTAATGCCTGCTCTCCCAGGAAGGCTCTCGGGTCCCCACACGCCCAGAGGGACTGCCCTTTTCAGGCGGACAGCTTCCCTCCTCTCACTGGGAACAGGGGAAAAACATGGCACTGGCCATAGCCAACGGGACCGCTCTGTGTACAAGGCCTGCCCCAGCAAGGGCAGAAGACAATGTCCTGGGATTTAGGAAGCTGCCTCTGAACCAGTTCTCAGTTCTCCCACGACATCATCCTCCCAGGCTGTGGGACCGTTAGAACGGGCGGAAGTGGACGCCAGCCAAGGGGATGTTCCCAGATGTCATGCTTTCAAACTGGACCCACCCTGAAAGGCAGGCGGGGACAGGCCTGTGCCCAGGAAAGCCCTGGGTAAAGACTCAGGATGGTATTACGGTCTCTCCTGGGCAGGGGATGGCCACAGGTTTCCCCAGCAGCAGTGCCCACCAATGCCTGTCCGAGACAGGAGAGCCACCAAAGGTATGGCCTCTGGCCTGGGGGCGGGGGTTCCGAGTAGCTGCAAGTTCCCCACCCCCAGCAATGCACCTAAGCATCCTCCAAAGCAGTCTTCTCAAGCCCCCTCTCCCCAAATCAGGGCCCTTTGGCTAGTCTCCTCAACCAGGTTCCTCCTCAGGAGAGGGCTTCCCAAACAAAGTTGGAGGAGAAATGTAAGGGAGCCCTAGATTGACCTCAGGGTAGTCGCCGGAGGGTTCGGGCCCCTTTTTCCAGCTTGCTCAGTGGAAAAGTGGGCCGGCTCGTGCCTCAGGCCGCGGGGCTGTGACAGCCGGCGCCTCCCGCGGCCCCCCTCTCCCCCATCAGCGCCCCCACCTTGAGATAGTCGTTTTCGGAACGCAGCTCCTCCAGCTCGCGCACTAAGCCGCCGGGCCCGCAGTCCAGCATCTCCTCGGTGAGGTCGGAGAAGGCGAGCGAGGCACTGAGCGGCAGGCGGCTGCTGCCCACCGACGACGCGGCCATCGACGGCTCATCCGGGGAGGCGGGCGGCCGCGGAGGCTGCGGCGCGGACGGCGCGGGCTGGGACGGCTGCC